CAGGATTGGAGGAAGACTCATCAACAACCTGTGTTATATAGATGACACAAACTTGTTTGCTGAAACTGAGGAAGACATGAGCTATTAGCTGCAAAAGATCAAGGACTATAGTCTTCAATACAGCCTGAAGCTCAACATCAAGAAGAGAAAGATTCTCACCACTGGGCCAATTGGCAGCACCATGATGGATGGAGAAGACTGAGGTTGTTAACAATTTCAGCATTCACTCCTGGCACCAGCAGTCAGGACATCAAAAGTCGAGTAGCACTGGGGAAGTGTGCTATCAGGGACCTCTCCAAAGTGCTCAAGAGCAATGATGTCAGTCTAGAGAGTAAGGTGCACATGATCAAAACTATGGTCTTTGCAATTACTTGCTATGCATCAGAGAGCTGAACAATGACTAAGGAGGACAGAAGAATTGATGCCTTTGCATTGTGGTGCTGGAGAAGAGTTGTTGTTATGTGCCACTGAGTTAATTGTGACTCATAATGACAACAACTCTGAACCTTGCTCTATCTTCAGTCAATTTCATTGTCTCTGACACACTTAACCCCCATTATCCTAGTCACCGAATCAATCCGTCTCATCCAGGGTCTTCCTTTCTTGTTCTCTCCCTGCATCTTTCCAAACACGATGTCTTTCTCCAAGCATTGGTTCCTCCTGGCCACACATACCCAAAGTATATGAAACAGAGCTTCAAAATCTTTCCCTCCAAGAAGGAGCCTGGTTTCCTTGATAAATCTGTTTTTTTCTCTTGGAAGTCCACGGTATGTTCAATACTCTCCTCCAGCACCACAACTCAAAGGCTCAAAGGCATCAATTATCCTTCTGTCATCTTTAATCTAGCTCTCTGATGCATAGCAAGTAAATGTGAAGACTATGGCCTGATTCTAGTGTACCTTAATATCCAGACTGACATTGTTCTTCAGCACTTTTGAGAGGCTCCTGCAAGTTGCCCAGAGCAATTCCATTTTTTTTTTTAATTTCTTGACTGCTAGTGTCAAAGAGTGTTGACTGTGCATCTGAGCAAGATGAAATCATTAACGACTTCAATTTCTTCTCTATTTATCTTTGTGCTGCCAATTGGCCCATTGGTGAGAATCTTTCTCCTTGATATTGAGTTTCAAGCCATAAAAACCTGCCTCAGGATCAGCTATGGGTCTGTTCCAACTTCACAATACTCAACAACAACAGAGCATAGACACTCAACTGATTTTTGTTTGCTGAACTTGTACTCTGCAACCTTGCTAAATTCTTCTGTTAGCATTCTTCCTGGCCGAAGCCTCCAACCCTAAATGTTCCCTGAAGTCTCAAAAACCAAACAATGCTTCAGGAATAAAGAATGCCCTAAGCATTGAGCTCTTCTAAGGTATGTGTGGGACCAAACTGGCAACAGCAACACAAAAGATTACACAGGGGCAGTGACTTTATGTTAATGGAGCGAGGAACAAATTGGTAGTGAATGGCTGCACAACTTAAAGACTGTGGTCAATGCCGATGAGCTATTGGAAAACACTGGTGGCTGTTCTACTGTGTATCTTCTCAACAACAACAAAAAAAACACATAATAGATATTTTAAAAATAGAGTAAGTCAATTCAAAGATGGAGAGTGAAGTAGAGAAGATAAAAGGCCTAAGAAATAAAACCTGTTACTCTTGGTATTCTCCTAGCACTAGGTGAAAAGGGTAATTCTCTCACTTGGGAGAGTTTTATTCTCTCAGCCCACACAAGGTTCTATCAGCCAAGTGGTGGAGCATGTGTACAATAAACATATCACAATCATAAACTCTGTGAAGTGTTTCCAATGTAAAGAGAGGGAGGGAAAATCCCAAAAGCTCCAGATATGAAAGAAACTGTCAGCTCTCCCTGCATCCACTGGATGCCAACAGCAACAGGGAGCCTTGAGCCTGGCTCTTAATGGGCAATAAGAGGAATCCCAGGACAGATGGCACTTTAAAATCCAATTTCACTCCATTTGTCTCCCCTCTAACCGACAGTGTGTTTAAAGCAATCACAGCCATTTTCACGAGCTGCAATATTTCAATGTAGTCGCTATCCCTCGAGAACACGAAAAGCTCTCTTAATTAGTGAGTGTTTAAGAGAAAAAAAATTACGGAATTTGTGAAACATCTATTTCTAACCGAACACCTACACCCACAAACCCAACACCCGCCACGCAGGGAGCAGTGTTTTTAAGTCCAGCTCATTCATCTGCACATAGACCACAGTTCACCAACAAAATACTTACTCTCCTTCCATTCATGGAATTGCCAGTCCTAGTCTGAGGCACTCATTTGCCATTATTGAAAAGTAACTCGGGACACCCCAAAATCTATATTCAGGTGGCTCAGCCTGCTTCAAGCAGCCAGGCAAAACTCTGGGGCTTCAGTGTCCCTGGAAGAAGCCCCCAAACCAGCCTCCACCCAGCCGCTGGGGGCGGTACCCTCCTCTGTCCCCACTCACTGGGAAACATTCAGAGTTGTACTATCATTGTGGATGTTGTTTATTCTTTACTAATAAAATTGCTTGTGAGATGGACTTCCCACCTGCCCGAGTCCACTGAAACAACATCCAGTCGGATCGGATCATCTCCAAAACTGCACCTTCAAACACTGGGAGGTGTGAACAATGAACTTCTCTCAGACTGCCTCTGTCTTACCCGTTCCCCAAAACGAGAAGTTTTGAACTACCCAGGGTGTCATTCCGCGATTCCCCAGGCAACGCGGCCGCGGGCGGTGAGGGAGGGCCCAGCGCGCGCCCCCGGCCGCGCCCCTCGCGTCGCCGGACGGACAGTTACCTCCTTCCTCCGGCTCGGGGCCCCGGGTCGGGTGATGAGGGCGGTCTCCTCGCACACCACGGCCACGTCCTCCACGAACACGCAGTCCGGGAGGCTCTCGTCGGCCGGCAGCTCCACCACCTGCAGCCCCAGCTTGCTGCCCAGCACGCCCACGTAGAGCTGGTGCTGGCGCTCCGCGCGGGCGAAATCCACCTCCTCGCCCTTGGCGCTCCTCAGCGCGTGCTGGCAGAGGGACTCGGGCAGCGCCCGCACCACGGCGTGGGTGGCCCGGCCGAAGGCGGCGGGATGGCCGAGTCCAGCCATAGCTCCAGGCGGCGACGAGGCGGCGGCGTGGGACGCGGCGACAGTGTCCTCCCGCGGGCAGAGCGCACGGAGCCAGCGAGCGCCCGGCGGCTTCCCTTGGCAGAGGATGAATGTGGTGCAGAAGGAGCCCTGCTCGCGCCCGGAGCCCTGCCCGCGCGACTGAGCATGCCCAGAGCTCGGGGCGCCGGCCCGCGCGCATCCCGCGCTCCTACTCCAGCACTCCCTGTTTTTGCAGCAGCCGAGGTGGGAGTACTAGGGTTGGACGGAGCGAGGAGAGGGACTGGGGGAAAGCGGCTGAGAAAGCCGTCAGGGCCAGAGGTGTGCGCAAGGGTGCCCAAAAGTCATCCCTACCCGAACTGAGGTTACCTGTATTCTGTCGCAGGTGCACACTTCAGGTATCTCACAAAGCGGACTTGCCAAGCAGGCAGTGATCTGGACAGAGCTAGTGGAGGGCTTATTTTTGGTCAAGAGACCATTAAGGACTAGACTCACTCAGTTGTAGATACTTTGACCTTTTCCCACTCTCTTGTTTCCTAGTTGCTGAGCACATGTGTTCCTAGTATGCGATAATGTTTTCCCAACCAAGTCCATCTTATATTGACTTTTTCTGCAAATGACCCTTTACCACACGTGAGACCAGAGATTTAGAAAAAAAAAATGTGTTTCTTCCCATCAGAGAAAGCAGCGTGAGTGGGAGAAGTGGCACACAAAGAGGAAAGAGAATTCACAGTATTTCAAGGACATTTGGGTCTCACGAACAATGAACCTGATGTGCTTTCCTCCAAGGTCCACAGAGGAAGGAGCAAGTGTTTCCTGCTGAATCAGTACAGGCTCAGCTTGGATGCTGTGAACCGCGTAGCACCCCAGTTATCTCCTTTACATTGGGCAACAGGGGGTTATATCTTCCCTCCTGGGTGGTTTCAAGTATTTGGGGCATGTTGTTAGGAAGGGCCCATCCTTGGTTAAGGAAATAATGCTTGGAAAGATAGGGAGTCTGTGAAGGAGACGAAGACCCTTAACGAGATGGACTGACACAGTGACTGTATAAATGGACTCAAGCATATTAGTGGATGTAGATGCCACATGATAGGGCCAGGTGCAGGTCCATTGTTCATAAGGTCACTGTGACTCCAGGGCACCTAACAACAAGCTTGGCTTTCCCCTCATTCTGATTCAGAGCCTCCATGAAATCCTGCGGTATTTGCTGAGAGGATTCCTCTCCCCCCATAAGCCTCAGAGTGGTCCCTTTTTTCATAATAGCTATAGCGTGTATTTCCATTCCACGTGGCCCAGATTAAATAGCCCATGTGTTCTGCTCTTGGGTGGGGGCTGGGGAGTGCCCTCTGTAAGAACTGGCTTCAAACTACAAAATAATCTCTGGTGATAATCTTTCCTGACAGTTCTTTAGAGTACTGTAAAGGTTGATTAAATCACAAAATATTAGATAGGAGTCGACTTTGGAACCCATCATTTAACTTCCTAACTAATGTTGTTGAAATCCGGTTTAGACAGTTACCCACTGTTTACTTGGACTTTTAAAACTCAAATTTAAGATTTACAAAGTCTATTCCGCTATTGAAAATATGTAATTGTTTGAAAAAAATTCTTTATATGGACCTTAAATTTGCCAGTTACACCTTCTCACACAAGGCAGCGTTCACATGTCTGAGGATAGTTGTATCCTGTCTCTCATCCCTTTTCTATACTGGTTCCATTTAGATTTTTTTAGCAGAACCATCAAAGGCAATGATTTGGTATATGAGTCCCTTCATTCTGGTTATCTTCTTTTCAATACACACTTGTTTGCCTGTATCCTTCTTAAATCCTAGTTTCTTTAAAGAAAAATCATTTTGTCTGTGTGATCTGAGCAGCACAGACTGTGATAGCATCCTTGTTCCAGATGCTAGACTTCTGGTAACACTGCCTAAGAGTTTATTAGCTCCTTTGTAGTGAGCCAATGCCAATGCCCAGATCAAAAAAGCCTCCCTACAAGTACACTAATCCCAGCAAGAACTGTGGGCTTCTACAGGAACATGTATCTAAGGATCCTGGAATGGCTGGCTGTCCCAACTAACTCAGTGATAGGCTCTACTTTCCATCTTCCTTTTCCCCAAGCCTAGTTGAAATTTTCCAAATTTGAAAAATAAGTCTTGAGTAAAATATAGGAGTCCCTTGGGGTTTTTTTTGGGTACCATGGAGTCTAGGATGACTCACAGAGACTCTGTGAACAACAGGCCCAAGCCCTGTCCTATCCTGTGCCATGTTCATCATCGCTGATACACTTGAACTCATTACTGCAGTCACCCTGTCAATCCATCTTCTTGAGGGTCTTCCTCTCTTTCACTGACCCTCTACCTGTTGAAGCACGATACCCTTTTCCAAGGAACAGCCTCTCTTAGCAACATGTCCATAGTATGAGAGGTGAAACCATCCTTGCCTTCATGAAGCACTGTGACTGCACCTTTTTCAAGACAAGTCTGTTTGCTATTTTGACAATCAATGGGATATTCTGTTCTATTCTTCAACGCAATTCAAAGGCATTAATTCTTTTATCATCCTAGTCATTGTCCAGCTCCAGATGCATAGCAAGTGATTGAAAAGACCATGGCCTGACTCAGGGGCGCTTTACTCTTCAAACTGATATCATTGCTCTTTAGTATTTTGAGGGAGTCCTTGACAGCAGACTTGCCTAGTGCAATACGTCTCCTGATTCCCTGACTGCTGGTGCCAAGGGTGTTGATTTGGATCCAAGGAAGATGAAATCATGGACAATTTCAATCCTTTCACCATTCATCATGATGTTGCCTATTGGCCTAATGGTAAGGACCTTTGTTTTCTTAATGTTGAGATATAATCTATATTGAAGGCTGTAGTCAGTCCGTAATGTTCTACAACAAGAGTTTCAGGCCTTCATCATTTTCAGAAAGCAAGATTGTGTCATCTGCATAATACAGGTTGTTGATGAGTCTCCCTCCAATCCTGATGCCACATTCCTCTCATAGAGTTCAGATTCACAAAGCACACAGATTGAATAGGTACAGAGAAAGGACACAGCCTGGATGCCCAAAGGCAGTGCAAATTGTTAAACTGAGAGGCTACTGGCCTAAGGTTTAGAGGTTTAAGTCTACTCAGAGCTGCCTTGAAAGAATGATCTGGCAATCTACTTCTGAAAGAAAAAAAATCCATTAAAGACCCTTTAGAACATGGGTGGACACAGTGGAATGGTGGTTGTCGTTGTTGTGTACCATCGAGTCAGAACTGACCCATAGCTGACCCTCTAATGGGTTTTCAGAGGCAATCACAGGGGGAGATTGCCTATCCTTCTCCCACAGAGCAGCTGGTGGATTTGAACCAATCTTTGGAATTGCAGTGCAGATTCTTACCACTAGGGCACCAGAGCGCCCAAGTGGGGTGGTGGTTGTTGCTGTTATTATGTGCCATAGAGTCGCTTGCGACTTATAGCAACTCTAATGTACTACAGCCCTAAACCCTGCTCTATCCTGTGCCAATCTTGTTGTATCTTGACACACCTACCGTCATTACCCCAGTCAATGAATCAATCTTTCTCATTGAGGCTTTTCCTCTCCTCCACTGTCCCTCCACCCTCCCAATCATGATGTCCCACTCTGAGGACTGGTTCCTCCTTGCAACATGTCCAAAGTATGTCAGATGAAGCTTCAGAATCCTTGCCTCCAAGGAGCAACCTGGTTTAACCCTCTCTAGGATGAACCTATTCGTTCTCTTAGCAGTCCATGGTATATTCAATACTCTTCTCCAACAACACAGCTCAAAAGGATCAATTTTCCTTCTATCATTTCTAGTCACTGCCCAGCTCTCTGACGCATAGCAAGTGATTGCAAAGACCATGGCCTATATTAGGTACATTTTAGTCTCCAGACTGACATCATTGCTCTTCAGTACCTTGAAGAGGTCTCTGACAGACAACTTTTGCAGCGCAATATGTCTTTGCATTTCCTGGATGCTAGTGCCAAGAGTGTTGATTGTGGAGCCAAGCAAACTAAAGCTGTTGACAATCTCAATCTCTTCACCATCCATCCTGATGCTACCAATTGGCCCAGTGGTGAGAATCTTTGTTTTCTTGGTATTGAGCTTTAATCCATATTAAAGGCTTCAGTCCTTGACCCTCTGCATCAAGCACTTCAGGTCCTCCTCAGTTCAAGCTAGCAGAGTTGTGTCATATGCATAATGCAGATTGTTGATGAGTCTATCTACAATTTTGATGCCACATTTCTCTTCATAGAGCCCAGCCTTCTGGATAATCTGTTCTGCATATAGATTGAAAAGTTGAAATCAACTTGCCAGCAGTTAACAAGTGAAAGACAGTTCTGACCCTCATAATGGGAATTAGAACCAACAGAAAGATGGCAAATCATTAAGACCTAGTGAATTCCACTTCTGGGCAAAACTCTTAAGGAATCCAGGCTGCTTTGTTGGCATAGATTTCTTGTCAGAAATAACTTAATGGTGTCCTGAGACAGGAGATCTGTCCCTCAATGTTACAGGTGAAGTTTGACCTATGGACTAAATATGTTCAGGTTAAAATATGGGGTTTCATCTCTCCTTTAGAAGAACTCTTATAACTTAAAAAAAAATAAAAGTATTTTGCCATCAAGTCAGAACCAACCCCTAGCTGACCCTTCAGCAGGTATTCAGAGGCAGTAAACTGCATGAGAGGAGATTGCCTGACCTTCATTCTGGTGGCTTAGGTATAAGGAATAATGCTGCCAAAACAAAGGTACATGGTTGGAATCACCAGCTGCTTTATGGAAGAAAGATGGACAACTTCCTCTAAAAACCTGCTGGAGGGTCGATTCCAACTCAATGGTACACAGCAACAAACAGCATTCCTCCTTTACTGTGGACTTAACCCCCAGTGGAGCTTCATTTCCTCCAGTTGGCTCCATCTAGCATTATAATAAATGGAGCAAATATTGACATTGTCACTGATTTAATTTTACTTGGATCTACAATCAACACCTATAAACACAGTAGCCAAGAAATCAAATGATACATGTATTACACTGGCGAAATCTGTTGCAAAGGACTTCTGCATGTATGTCATTTTACAGACTAGTGTGTGCCTGACCCAAGCTA